CCGGGTGCGGCGGTGAGGCGGGCGGGCGCGGCGAGGCCGTGGCGTGCGCCGGCGGGCGGGCGGGCGCGGCGAGGCGGCGGCGAGCACGGCGCGCAGGCGGGGACGAGCGAGCAGGCGGACATTTTGGGTCACTCTACCGTGGTGTGCGCCTCGAACCCAAACCGGACTGACATGTCCGTTTTCATCCCTATTACCACCTCAAACGGACGAAATCCGGATAAAACGGACGTTCATTTGGGGTCATGCGATGGAGTTCGCCTGATCCAACACAGCGGTACATGCAGACAAACCGTCTTCCATGGAAGGACGCCCAGAGGGGGTTGTGTATTTGGAACCTCCTCCAAGACTTTCAGGGGTTGCCGTTCTATTTTGTAATCAGCCCTGTACTGGAATTCACCTAAAACTACTATTCGACAATTATCATATTGCGTTACAAAACATCACACGAGTTTACATACAGTACCACTTAAAACATCAAACAAATGCTATGAGACGGAAAACAAAGTAGAACATAGTCTTACACATGAAACAAGTGCTATAAGGCTGAGGCTTTTCGCACGTCGACTGGGGTTCTTCCCCCTATTTGCTAGGTCCCAATGGCGTCAACTTCATTCGACACAGTCGAAGAAGAGGAACACTGCCGCTTGCCTCCATCTACGCACCCCACTGCAAGATATTTGTTGGAGTTGTGTGAATATAGTGTACAAGGTAGGTTACAGTTGGACTTGTAGTTGTATTGTGTTTAGATAGGATATGAAGCCGTGTCCAAATAGAACACTTGTATCCTAGGTCTCTCATATATAGCGGGGCTAGACACATGATGTAACCCATGCCAACATAATAGCACCGGGACGCAGGGGAAGCCGGCGGCATGTGCTGGTGTTCAGGGCGATCGGGTGCGGTATTATGACGGTGTCATGGGGAGGAGCGCCCATATAGTCAGGCCTCAAGAATGTAGCCATATCGGTGAACCTCGTTAACAAATCTTGATGTCGTGCTCGTGTGATTGCTTAGTCCTCGGATGATCAACGGTGGCTTCAGATTTATTCTAACAAGTGGTATCATGAGCTAGGTTATCCGAAGGTTGTGGTCTGTTGATCTAGAGGAAAGATTGTTCGAGAGTTGGGCGAGTACGACGGCAGCGGATTGGATCAATCCGATCGGGAGTAACTCGATGGCGGCTGCAAGCGTGTCACGCACGGACCAGGAGGTGTCGCTCGGTCGAGGCGCGGTCGAGCAAACCGCAACAGCAGGAGTTGTCGGTCTCTTGGAGTCGACCAGATCGATTGAGATGCGGCGGCAGGAGCCCTGTCAGGTGTACTTGCGCGAGCAGCAGTCCAGCAAGCAGTCGGGCCAACGGGCCAGGAGTACGCACGCATGGGCAGAGGCTCCAAGTGTGTTCCGTTGCACTCATGGGTAGAGTCCAGCAAGCTGGGCGTGCGGGTGGCCTATGCAGGCTGCATTGAAAGGCCCTGATGCGTGGAGCTGCAGTGAAGATTTGTTTTGGAAACAAAAGGAGACCGAGTCTCCATAGTACACGGACAGGCAGGCAAATCAGTCAGCGGCAAAGATCCGTCAAGCGTGTTCATCAGAAGTACTACTTGCGTAGGCGTTGGCAAGGCAAAGGCAACTAGCCAGCATTAAAAATTTGTGTCAAGGGAGCTATGGAAAGCTCAAATAATTTTTTCACTGGGTCAGTCATACGAAGAACCATGGCGCCAATGGGTACTTGGTTTGAGGTGGAGAAGTTCAACGGGACAGAAAACCTTGGGTTATGACGGACAAGGGTGGAAAATTTGTTGGCACAATAGAGATGCTTGAAGGCGTTGCGGGAAGTCATGTCAGCTGAGATGGAACTACATAATGAATGGAAATTCGTGAAAGATGATTTGGGAGCCTTGAGCGTGTCGTTGCAGTCGGACAAGTTCGGCTGGGTCGGACTGGACTGTCTGGCAGATCGACGTGAGTCGGTTGGTACAGAAGACGGTGGTGGGATCGGCGACGGCGACATAGGAGCATGATGCTGATGGTGACCGACTTCTGGGCGTGGAAACACGTGGCACATGCCTGGGCTTGTGCGGCTTCGACGAGACTATGGCGCGGGGTTGATTCAAGACGGTGCACATGTGAGCTTGAAGTCGACGGGGCGCGAGGGTAGACTGATCATCTACCATGGAGTCATGTTGAAGGTGGAGCTGGATTGAGGGGCTACGGTGTAAGGATCCAGGGAATCGAAGCCTATTCAGCAAGGGGGGGAAGCGAGTGACATGCAGTTCAGGCTGGAGCCCAAGGGTCTGATGAAAGCGTAAAACTCGTCATCGGTCGGTGATGATCGGTGGTACTCTGCAGTGGGGGTTGAGTGGTGTGGTCTTGCGACCCTTGAGACTCGACCGGGACAGCGGAGGCTCGACGCGGTAATAGCGGCGAGGCGTGCGGTACGCGCGGGACATGGAGACGGGCCAGGGCTCTGGTGGTCATACATGTGGTGAGACAACTGCGAATTTGACTCGGGATGACTACAAGCAATGGTGAAATTCCTTCAAGTTTCAGGCAGGCGGTCAAGAAACGAGCAGTGATGTTGAGTTCAGGTAACTCTTATGTGTGACACCCAATATATGAGTTGTTCACTTTCACGCAGGTCAGTGATCAGTGGGTGATGGCGTTGGACTGATACTCTGAAAGTTGGGAGCGCAAACTAGAGCAATGTGAAACTTAGTTTCGCTCGAGCGTTGACCGTGGTCAAGAAAAGAAGGGACTACAAATTGCAGGTGGAGTCATATGGAGTCTTTGGAGTAGCAGTGGTGCTCATGGGATAAACTCAAGTTCAATGTACATGGAAGTTTGACGCATGGACAAATCCATGGTGGTGGAGAATATTCGCCAAGGTGGAGTTTGCTGGAGTTGTGTCGAATATAGTATACAAGGTAGGTTACAGTTGGACTTGTAGTTGTATTGTGTTTAGATAGGATATGGAGCCGTGTCCAAATAGAACACTTGTATCCTAGGCCTCTCATATATAGCGGGGCTAGACACACGATGTAACCCATGCCAACATAATAGCACCAGAACGCAGGGGAAGCCGGCGGCATGTGCCAGTGTCCAGGGCGACCGGGTGCGGTATTTTGACGGTGTCATGGGAAGGAGCGCCCATAGTCAGGTCCCGGGGATGTAGCCATATCGGTGAACCTCGTTAACAAATCTTGGTGTCGTGCTCGTGTGATTACTTGGTCCTCGGATGATCAATGGTGGCCTCGAATTTATTCTAACAATACCAAACACAATTGCAACAGACGACCCCAAAAAGACTGAGCCACCTGCTCCTCGGTGTCGCCCATTCGAACACCAACGAGATGGAGGAGGAGCAAAAGCAGATTATTCTGACGTGGCGTCGGCTCGATCATTGATGCAGTATCTCTGACAGAAAACTATGCCTATCCATCTCCCTGCCAAAGAGAAACTACCGGGGTCTCCGCTCACTCCTGCCGCTGGAGCGATAGACGAAGAGGACGAGGACCCATGACGTCTTGGAGCGGGTCCCAGGAGAGTGAACAAAGCGGTTGAAAACTTGGGAAGTTCCAGACATTGACTTATCAACTGTGGTTGTAGCCCTAGGCCACTAGATATCAAAGTTTTTACAATTTTCATATGTCACTAAATTAGATTTGATTTGTCTAACTAGGATGGAAACATTCCAACGATAGAGAGGTACCTCCGCAACTCCAGTCTCTAGATCTGGTAAAGAAAATCAATTTTCAATTTACCTTTTGTTTGGGGGTGGGTGGGTGGGTGGGTAGTTTTGTGTTGACATTGTGAGTGCATCTTGTTGTTTCTAGTTTTTTCTAAAATGAAGCAGACTTATCACAAAGTCAGCCCAATATAGGGTGATGAACGGATAACATGTGCATGGGTTCACAGCCGTCCGTAGAACACAAAAGACGTTCCATTCAATCATAGTACAAAATGAAAATTCTATACAGTTAGAGCAGTGATTAAGACATGCAATTAACAATGTATTTTTTGTGAGATGGGCGGTTAGCAATTTTATTGGGTCATAATCGTGCCGAATAAAACACACGTGAGTAATGAAAACAGTCCAAAAGCTTGGAAACCTTTCGCTTTGTCAGTCGAGATGACTGACTGGCTGACTGAAAGCAACTCTCAAGTGGGCTTCAGAGTTCAGACTTTTTACTGGTAAATGAAAAGATGCACGAGCGACCAATCTACCTAGCCGCCTCAAATTCTCTTCTCTTTGCGGCAGACTCGCTCAGTCTGCTGCACCTCCAGTTTATTTGTTTCAATATACTTTTTTATCACCAATTTGGGGGCAATCCCTGAACTTTCTCTGAAAAAACTACTGCAGCAGTTCTATCTGATCCTTCTCCAGACCTTTTTTTTTTACAATTTGATGCTTTTTTTTCTGAACAATATACTGTAATTCTGTATGTACACGTTACAAACTAAGCATAACCAGATGCACAGCTGCCGGATCACCGGCGCAACGTACACGCCTACATGGTCATGTCATGTATATAACGAACGCCGTCCATCACCGGTGCAGGTAAGCCGATCGATCGGCAGGCAGGACGGCGAGCTACTGAACGTGCACTCGGTCAGCAGATGACGCAGGAGCTGGGATCCTCCTCGGCGCTGTGGCCGTGGTAGTAGGGGTGAGAGTGGTAGTGGTACGGCGGCGGCGGCGGGTACCACGGCGGGTACACAGGGGTCGGCTCCTTCTTGCCGTCGTCCTTGGCGTCGTCTTTCTTGTCCTCCTTGGCCGGGCCGACGGAGAGGATCTGCGCCGTGCGGAAGAGCTTGCTGCGCAGCTTGCCGACGATGTGGACGGGGTCGACGGTGCCCACCACCGTCATCTTGTCGTCCTTGGTGTCGACGGCGATCTGGTCGATACCTGAGAATATAGTAACAGTTGCCATTGTCAGAGGTGCGAAATTCAGATATGAATCGTAATACAGACCGGATCAACGAGCGCGGAAGAAGAAGAAGAAGAAGCAGGGGAGGGGATTATATATTACCGTGGAGACTGGAGACGAGCTTGAGCGCCTTCTGCTTCTGCTTGTCGTCGTGCAGGTCCAGCTTCAGCACCACCTTCATGGCGGCCATCGATCCAACAATCCAGCCGGGACGGACGAACTCTTGGCTGGTGGGATGGAACGGAACGGCGTGCGGCGCTTCGTCTCGGCGATGGGCAAGGGAGGAAGAGAGCGCGGTGTAATCTGGAGACAGGGGAGTGGCTCTGGGCAGGTGGGTGGATTTATAGGCAGAAGCCTCCTCGGTCGGGCTGTTTTCAGAGGGAAGTGGAGTGGCGACCGGCGAAGCTGCGGAGAATGCCCGCCTGACAGCAAAAACAGGTGTCCGGCTCGGTCGCTTCTGTGGTCGCCTGCGCTTGCACCGGGGCCCCGACTACGGCCGCGGGCCAGGAGCCGTGTGTACGCGCGTGGAGACCCGGAGACTGAGAGCGACGTGTCATCGTGTTGGTGGGGCGCGGCAACGACCCGCCGGAGTCCTCGCACACTTCCGGTTCCGGCCGTGGTCGCTTGATTGCGAGCACATTGACTGATCACTAGCCACTTGGGAGGGACAAAACTGTATGGTGTCTCCTTGAGGGCCAAGGCAAGGGGATCGATCAACGGAGAAGAAAAAGTGGTCATGGGATACGGTCTCCGGCTGACCGTTGCGCCCGACCGATCCGTCTCTGGAGTCTGGACACGGTATGCCCGGTCTTGGGGACTCGGTGACCATGTTCGGAACGGTTCAACTCTGGACAGTACTGCTGCATGCATGCCCGGTCATCTCTTCCGCAGGGGCAGGACTGAACGCGGCCCCGGCTTTAGGAACCAAAACTTCCATGGCGTGTCCTCTAGGGTCAATCAAGGGGATGAATGGATCAACGCAGAAAAAGTGGCCGTGGGGCGTGGGCTATGGCGCATCCTTGCACCAATCGTGCTAGGAACGATTCAACTTCGTGCACTAGTGAATGCATGTCCGGTCTTCTTTTCTACCGTTTGCGGAATGACCGAAGGAGAATTAGCGGTGATGCTTTCAGCAACGGTCCGCGCCATGACAAAGCTGGAGTCCGAGTACACTGGCTGACTGATAGCTACTGGTACCTGGCTGAGCGTCACGAAGTAGTACTATACGTCAAGGTTCGCATGGTCCATTGACCGGCCCTGCTGAAAGCTTGAATTCTCATGCGCCGCCACAGGGTCCGCTAGTGCCGTACCTCCTACTGATACACACGCATGCGATGTGTGAAATCTCAGTATTGCTACTTCTGCAATGGCAGTCTGTTGACACCAGATTTTGGCACGGCCAAGAACTTAATTAAGATGGCCTCAAATGGAGAAGTGTTCAAAGTGAGAAAGCTCGGTATCGTCAAAAGGAGAAACTTTGATATTTGAGCCATAGCCACCCGGTCTCATTTCTAAGGCCAACGTTGTGTTCGAAGTATTCAGATTTTGTATTCAGAACACAATTCGGCTGATTACGTCCCCAAGATGACCTCATATGAGAAAAGTTTTTTTACACGGATTGTCTTCGTCTCGTCGAAACGATTGATTTTGATATAAGAAACGTCTAAATCGGAGTTCGTATACCAAAGTTAGACCCAAAATATTGTGCAGCATAAGTCTGCCCCGGAAGTTCCGAGCAAAACTTCCGGGAGGTTCCGGGCTAAACCGAAAGTTTGCACGCGGAGCACCCCGAAAACTGGAATTTTAACATTATTTGCAAATTTACGGGGCCAGTTTCAACATCAAGATGACCTCGGATGAAAAAGTGTTCAACCAACGATTTTTTCTACATTGCAAGATCTACAACTTTGCTTTTGGGACCATCACGATCCGAAGCCATATGCGACCTGCAGGAGCTGTGCAAGAGGGCAACTTAATGTAATCTTAGCCCGGAAGTTCCGGCCCTCGTAGTCCGAGTTAGGTTATCTTTTGATGTTTTGGACGGGATTTGAGTCCTTTTCTTGTACGGAAAGTCCAGCCGCCTCATATATATGTAAGAGGTGACGGCCGATTGAATAACAACACACAATCGACCTATCAACATATCACTTTTTACCTTTATCTTTATCTCTCTCCCTCGTTCTTCATTCGTTCTTCTTGTTGCAGGGCGACGAACCTCGAGGCCCTAGGGGCGATCAGGTCGACCTAGGGCAGCCCATAGCCGCCGCACGCCCTGACGGGGTCCCTCCCGGGCGTGTGGGGTTTCGGGTCCTCAAAAGCACCCCCGGATTGTCTTGCGTACCGCGCTTCCAGTTGGTCTTCTTCGACGTGAGCTACGGTGCATCACCCCCGGCGTCGAGGGTGTTGGGGAACGTAGCAGAAATTCAAAATTTTCTACGCATCACCAAGATCAATCTATGGAGAGACTAGCAACGAAAGAGAGAGGAAGTGCATCTTCATACCCTTGAAGATCGCTAAGCGGAAGCGTTACAAGAACGCGGTCGGTGGAGTCGTTCAGGAAGCGATTCAGATCGCGGCCGAATCCGATCTAAGCACCGAACAACGGTGCCTCCGCGTTCAACACACGTGCAGCCCGGTGACGTCTCCCATGTCTTGATCCAGCAAGGAGAGAGGGAGAGGTTGGGGAAGACTCCATCCAGCAGCAGCACAACGGCGTGGTGGTGATGGAGGAGCATGGTACTCCAGCAGGGCTTCGCCAAGCACTGCGAGAGATGAGGAGGGAGAGGGGTAGGGCTACGCTAGAAGAGAGGAAAACTCATGTTCTTGGCAGCCCCAAAACCCCCACTATATATAGGGGAAGGGGAGAGGGGGCCGGTCCCCTCCAGATCCCACCTAGAGGGGAGGGGCGGCGGCCAGGAGGGGGAAACTTGCCCCCCAAGCAAGGTGGAGGCGCCCCCTTCCCTAGGTTTCCAACCCTAGGCGCCATGGGCCCTTGGGGAGGGGCACACCAGCCCACTAGGGGCTGATTCCCCCCCCCGTTATTCAGCCCATCAAGCCCCCGGGGGCAGGTGGCCCCACCCGATGGACCTCCGGATACCTTTCGGCGGTCCCGGTACAATACCGATAACCCCCGAAACTATTTCGGTGACTGAAACTGGACTTCCCATATATAAATCTTTACCTCCGGACCATTATGGAACTCCTCGTGACGTCCGAGATCTCATCCGGGACTCTGAACAACATTCGGTAACCATATACAAACTTCCTTTATAACCCTAGCGTCATCGAACCTTAAGTGTGTAGATCCTACGGGTTCGAGAATCATGCAGACATGACCGAGACAGCTCTCTGGCCAATAACCAACAACTGGACATGGATACCCATGTTGGCTCCCACATGTTCCACGATGATCTCATCAGATGAACCACGATGTCAAGGATTCAAGCAATCCCATATACAATTCCCTTTGTCAATCGGTATGTTACTTGCTCGAGATTCGATCGTCGGTATCCCAATACCTCGTTCAATCTCGTTACCGGTAAGTCACTTTACTCGTTCCGTAATGCATGATCCCGTGACTAACTACTTAGTCACATTGATCTCATTCTGATGATGCATTACCGAGTGGGCCCAAAGATACCTCTCCGTCTCACGGAGTGACAAATCCCAGTCTCGATTCGTGCCAACCCAACAGACACTTTCGGAGATACCCGTTGTCGATGTCAAAACCGGAGGATCTCGGGTAGGGGGTCCCGAACTGTGCATCTAGGCGGATGGTAACAGGAGACAAGGGACACGATGTTTTACCCAGGTTCAGGCCCTCTTGATGGAGGTAAAACCCTACATCATGCTTGATTAATATTGATGATGTGTGTTACAAGAGTGGATCTACCACGAGATCAAGGAGGCTAAACCCTAGAAGCTAGCCTATGGTATGATTGTTGTTCGTCCTATGGACGAAAGCCATCCGGTTTATATAGACACCGGAGAGGGATAGGGTAACACAGAGTCGGTCACAATGGTAGGAGATCTACATATCCGTATCGCCAAGCTTGCCTTCCACGCCAAGGAAAGTCCCATCCGGACACGGGACGAAGTCTTCAATCTTGTATCTTCATAGTCTTGGAGTCCGGCCGATCATGATAGTTCGGCTATCCGGACACACCCTAGTCCGGAACTCCCTCAGTAGCCCCTGAACCAGGCTTCAATGACGACGAGTCCGGTGCGCATGTTGTCTTCGGCATTGCAAGGCAGGTTCTTCCTCCGAATAATTTATAGAAGATTGTGAACACCAGGATAGTGTCCGGCTCTGCAAAAGTAAATTCCACGTACCACCGTAGAGAGAATAATATTACACAAGTTCAATCTGCTGACGTATTTTGTGGCGTGACGTCACACCACTACTAAGCCTTTACTAGAATTGTTTTTATTGTATCACCTCAGCGCATTTAGCGAGGCGGTTTCCTTGGCACGTCTTGTCAAAGCAGAGATCGTGTTCCCCTTATTCCGGGATTCCCATCAATACGGACGTGGGTAACCCAACCGCGCCATTGATTGCGGCGCTTGGGAGATAAGCGAGTTTTATCAGACCGGTGGGGACGCATGTTTGTGTCCGCCCATATAAGGGGATAAAGATCCAACCCTTTTACCTGCGCCTTCTTCCTCCTTGGCTTATCCAATTCCGCGAACTCGAGCTCCAGCGCCCAAGTCCGCACTTCTCACCTCAACCTTCTCCAACTATGTCCGGAGCGGGAGGCAAGTGGATGTCCTCCTCCGTCACGGAGGGGCAGATCCAGAAGCTGCGCAGCGCCGGATACTTGTCCAGCGACATCGCGCACCGGCTCCCCGACGAGGGAGAGCTCATCCCCACCCCAGGCCCCATGAGAGGGTAGTATTCCTTCCCCATTTCCTCCGCGGACTGGGCTTCCCACTCCATCCCTTTGTCCGGGGGCTCATGTTCTACTACGGCCTGGATTTCCATGATTTGGCCCCGAATTTCATCCTCAACATCTCGGCGTTTATCGTCGTGTGTGAGGCCTTCCTCTGCATCCAGCCCCACTTCGGCTTGTGGCTCAAGACCTTCAGTGTCAAGCCGAAGGTTGTGAAGGGCAGCCAAGCGGAGTGCGGAGGCGCCATGGTGGGCAGGATGTCCCACTTTAGTTGGCTTGAGGGCACTTTCGTGGAAACCAT